TTTAACTTTTTAGAGGGGCCATTGTGCAATTAATGAAAGTTACTGCAAAATGTCTTGTCTTGAGCCTGTATCCTCATATGGGATTTATTTTCACATTTTGTCGAGTTGTGTACTCTTGGAATTTCCTCCTAGTCGATGTTTTCCAGTTTCAGGGTTTTTGGCCCTAGTTTGCGCTAAACTTGATTTGGGCATAACTTTCTGCTCGGGACTCGGTTTTTGACATCGTTTCTTCCGTTGTTTATATTTTATCATTTTGAATCTTTTTCATTCACAAAGTTTTGCCATTTGAGTACGTCTGCTCAAATTTTACTTTTTCGGACCCGACGGGGCCCGTTCGGGGCACGTTTTGAGATTTCTATAAAAGGGGGGTGAGATATTTCATTTTTCATCTTCTCCCCTCTTCATGCACGACCTGGAGCTCCCATGGCAGCCCAAGGGGTGCTGCCATCTTCTCGCTCCTCTTTTGGTTCACTTTTCCTTGATGGAAAGTCTTTGGCCTTAACGTTTGTTGTTCACCTCGCCGTGCTCTACCTTTCCTCCTTATTAGAATTCAGTTTTGACTATTTCTTAACTTTGGTTTTGAGGTCAAGTTATGATTTTGATGGGGCTTTCATGGGGGTTATGTTCACGGCGTTGTCCCCGACAAAACTAAGTAGTTTCGTCGGATTCGGAGCCGTTCCATTTTGATGGCTTTTGAGATTTTCATCTCAAATTGAAGTAGGAAATGTTTTAGGATTTTATATGTGTTGTATTGAGTGTTTCTCATAATTATACAACTTATATGTATGCCTTGTATCAAATTTAGAAAGTTAGTAATTTTTATTTCTTTGTATAAGATTTAAAATTCACGATGATATATAATTTTGATTTGAATTGTGGCATGCTAGAAAATCATGTTTTAATATGTTTGTTAACATATATTAAATTGGTATGGATTGAATAAAAATTACATATTTTATTTAATATTTATCTTTTGTGAAAGATTAAATCCCATGGCCGTACCTTGCATGAAATTGACTTGTTATATGCTTTTAGATTATGTCTTGGCTTATTGTTTAACATACTTTAATTTGAGAGCATTTGAACAAGTATGAAAATCTAGAGATTTTAATTAAAAAGATTAATTAAAATCTAATTAAGGGTTCCATTGGCCTAATTAAGTGTTTAACTTGATATTTGTGATAACTATGTCTTATGTTCTAGCATATGTTAATTTGGAACCATTTGATGTTGTTTTAGAAGTTAGAGATTTGATTATCATGATTTAATTAAATTCCACTTTATTGTTCTTATGGCCTAATCGAGTTTTGATGTGGTGTATGTAATGACCATTGTATATTGTTTATCATGTATTAATTGGAGGCCTTTTGATTGAGATTTAAAACCTAGGGAATTTAATTAGTTTATTGATTAAATTCCGTTTCTATTGTATTATTGATTAACTCATGTATTTGACATTGATAGTATGTTTAAAGCATGACTTTTGACTTATAATGGATTTATGAGTTATGTTTCAATATTGTATTATATTGTTATAGCGCATAACGAATCGCGCTCTGAAGATTTGAAATGTGATGTTATTATAGCGCATAACGAATCGCGCTCTGAAGATTCGACATTGTCATCCTATAGTTGTTGTGGATTTAGAGCATGTGTTGTGTGGTTACAACCTACTTGTGCATGAAGGTAGTTTCGTGTATTATTTAATACGTATATAAGTTGTTAACTTATTTATTTTGGAGTCTTGGGACATTATTACTGTGATATGACTAAAGTTCGGCTTTAGTGCGGGAGGTATGAGTTCTCCCCAATTGAGATAGTATGCACTAGGGTGGTCTTCCCAGCGGGTTAATGCTCGGAATAACCAATTTGTTCTTGGTTTAGTCCGAGACGTGATGTCCAAGTCTTCCCCTATTTGATTTCGCATTCAATTCCAAGTTGACAGTCAATGTTTAATTGTGACTTGTGGTTTTGGTATTTGGCGATTTGATGTTGTTAAGTACATCCATACTAAATTGATATATTTAGTTGATTTCACACTTTTAGATTGCTAGTTGATAACCTAGAGAATCTATGTCTTGATGTGTGGTATTAGATATTATAATTATGCTAAATTGTTATATTTAGTTGATGTTGCATTTTAGACTTCATGTTGATAACCTTGAGAGCCACTATGTTGTTGCTTTGTGTAAGCATGACCCTATGTTGTTAAAATTGAATGAATGAGGTGATTGATGCTAGAAATGATCTTAGGTAGCTAGGATGCTCCCTGAGTCTCACATTGACATCGACATTAGGTGGAATGAACTACAATAATTAAATCATGCAACTTGTAAAACTTTAGGTCGATGCATGCTCATTTCCTACGAGTAGCTTTATGTTACTCACCCCTACGATACTGGGGCATATTTCAGGTATAGGATACAAAATGGGAGATTGTAGTTGCTTGGTTGATTTGCTGAGTTGATCTTCTTTAGAAGTATCTTTGTTCACATGCAAGTGTTAGCATGTTCATGATTTGTCTATGAAATGTAATTTTTCTAACTTGGAGGTTTGACATGTCAAATGTTGTAAATGTATTGTAATGAGGGCATAGGCCATTGTAGCATATCTATTTTATCATTTTACATACACTTGTATGCTCACTTTGGCAAACAATACCTTCTTTGATGAAACAAAAACTCTAAGTAGCATTTTTAGGGAGTTTTACCCTATTCTGTTCCAGGGGCATTTCAGGTATTTCAAGATGCATTTTTTTCATTTTTCCTCGCGAGTCACGTAGAAAACTCAATTTTGAGGGGGGTTTTTCTTTGTGTTTTTCCAGAAAACATCATCTTGGCCCTCAAAAATCAATATTTTTCCAAAAAATCCTTACTGCCAGGTTTTGCAAATTTTTAGTGCAAATGTAGTTGGTACTATTCATCGACTTTTTTTGGAAAATCGTCACGACCGATCCGAAACTTCCGGAGGTCTTGTGGGTGCATTTTAAGATTACATTTTCAATTTAGGCAATTTAAAAACCTCCTGAAGCCCTATTTCCAAAACTTGGGCAGTAGCTCGAATTAGTTTTTTTTCCTCTTGACCTGATTTTCTTGGGGGTATTCTGGGCATTTTACAATGTATTTTTTTTGTTTCCGTTTGTGTGCAGGGTAGGAAAATTGAGTTTAGGGGGGATTTCTTCTTTGAGTTTTTCCAAAAAAGTCCGTTTAGATGCTCGTTTTTACTCTCAGTTGCAGCAGTGGTGGGTTGTCCTCGTCGGGTCGCCACAACATCATTTTTGTTTTTGACCTTTCTCCCCCGTCCGGACTCCAAATTGAGTAAACTTTTTTTTGAACTTGACTAATTTGTCATTGTCTTTCCAGCGGTGTACTTAATAGCACCTAAATCAACTTTTTGCAAAATGATCATTTTGTCTCTAGGTTCTTTTTGTCCGTTTTTTAAATGACACTTCTGCATTTGTTTCCTTTGGGTTCCGTGACCTCATTGAGGGTCACATTGGTGTCTTAGAGACGCATTGTATCTCTAGAGACTGTTGTTTCATCTTTCGCTTCCGCATTTTGGATCCATTATCAGGTTATCTTTTGGTCATCACTGACGCACCGGGTTTACAAAACTTGGGCCGTCACAGTAAAGTTCTGTGATTTAGGGAAATTTGGTTAAAGCCATGTTTGGGGGTTAAGGGCACTCTTGCCATTTCATGCTTCTAAGTGTAGTATGGTCTTTTAAAATAATTCAACAAATTTTAACAGTTAATTCTCACCGGACCTTGGCCGGATGGGGTGATGTGCAACTTTTTTGCATACTTCAAGGGGTTTCTTACATTTTTTATAGTTCAGGGGTTAGTTACATGTTTTTCCATAATTTAGGAGGATTTTTTGCATTTAACCCTAAAATTTATCCAAATTATTATGTCAAATGTGAGGGCAACCTTCTCAATTTTACATGTTTGGTTGAAAGAGATTATCATCAATTTATGACAATTAAAAACCCAACCACTCCATGATCTAGAATAAAGCAACATTGTGATTTCTGAATATGTCGGCTGGTTACTCAAACCATTTAAAAAAGCTCCAGCTGTTTTTATAAACACAAATTATTCAGCTTTTCCCTTTCTAATTTTTACTTTCATTTATTTAATTGTTTGTATGTTGAGAATTGAGATTACTCATTTTTTTATGATTATACAGAGATAAGGAAAATGGAATTTCTTACCCAAAAAAAATAAAAATCACCAGATATACCGAGTGATTGCCTAGTACATTTGTTGCGTTAGTCACTAAGAAGATAAGATGTTTATTTTTCATTTGCTTTAGGGGCTTGAAGCCTTGAAGCTGAGTTTGGTTCAATTCGATCTTGGGAAAGCACAAAACATTCTAAAAGAATTGTACACTCAACTAGAGCACCTTCTCAAAATATTAAACAATGACTTTCTCAATTGCTTTTCTTATTTCTTTTTTCTTTTTCTTTTTTTTTTTTTCTTTTCTATATTATTATTTTTATTTTTTTAATATAAAAACCTATTTTACTATCCTATTCAATCTCATGACACATGTCGTAGACTTGCGTAGCCGAGGGGATTCCAACCCACATCCGGTGCATTAAATACAGTTTGTTCAGACGCTATCGCTAAGCCCAAGAGATAAATTAAACTTCACACCATTTTATTTTGGGACTGGACTTAATGCCAAAAAACTTCCATGACCGCTCTGATAAGTTTACAACAATTTTTTTATTTTTCCCTGGAAAGTATTCTTTCACATTAATGTGAATTGACACCCATCCTTCCTTTCTCTTAATTTAATGAGTTTTTAAGGAAACAGCGACTGATCTCCAACATGACATATGACCAAATTGCATGTAATTTTCAACATGCATTGAAACAAAGTCTGCACCCCAATGACCGTCTTAAGAAGGGTTTCGGTGTTGTAATGAGAAATTGAAAAACTTGCCCTTTCTATAAATTAGTAGTGTTCAGATCGACACCAAGTCGAATACTCAACAACAATGGCCTTTAATCCCTCTCTTCTATTAGGAGCTTTCCTCCTCCTCCTCCTTGTGTCAATACCTATCACTGTTCACTGTAAAGATCATACCGGAAAATCCTTCGATTTCCTGCACCACTTGGAGGGATGCCACAAAGGCCAGACAGTGAAAGGCCTTCATGCGCTCAAACGCTATCTCCAAAAGTTTGGGTACTTGAACTATGGTCATGATCATCATGATTCATCAAAGAATAGAAATCTCAAGCATGCAAACAACGATGAATTTGATGACCTTTTAGAGTCTGCAGTGAGAGCATACCAATCAAATTATCACATGAAGGTCACCGGAATCTTAGACTCCGACACCATTCAAGAAATGATGCTCCCAAGATGTGGGGTGCCCGATGTTGTCAAAGCCACAAACGCAATGTCGAGCAGAAAAATGAAACAGTCCAAACTTTTCAACACCACTCCTCAATACTCATTCTTCCCAGGAATGCCAAGGTGGCCTCCATCAAAAACCCGTCTCACTTATAGTTTCCGATCCAGTGCAAAGGTTGTGGGAATACAAGTACTGAGGTCGGTGTGCTCTCGAGCTTTTAGGAGATGGCAAAATGTCAGCCATTTCACATTTCAGGAAGCTCGGCGTGGTGCAACCGGCGACATTGTTATTGGGTTCCATCATGGTGGTCATGGAGACCAGTACCCATTTGATGGGCCAGGCAACACATTGGCTCACGCTTTTGCACCACAAAGAGGATGGTTCCACTATGATGCTGATGAGAATTGGAGTACTAATCCGGTGAACATGACCCAAGTAGACTTGGAATCTGTCGCTGTTCATGAAATAGGGCATATTCTAGGGCTTGGGCACAGTTACGATAGGAATGCCATTATGTTCCCATCTTTTTCGCCTGGTACAATCAAGAGAAATCTGCGAGCTGATGATATTGAAGGAATCCGGGCGTTATACTCTTAAATACTACATGGCAGAGGCTGATCACCGCACTCCAACTCACAAACCTGCTCTGCTTTGAGGGTGGAGATATTAGAAATATTCATTTTGGGGGGCCAATTAGTAATATAAAATTAAATTATAAAAATAAAAATAAAATAAGTGTAACCATTTTTATTTCGGCACATTTTTTTATGTATACTTCTAGGACCTTGTCCATTATAATATATATATTTTTTACTAACCCAGTGCACGAGACTATTAGGATTTTATGGTCTAAAAATAATTAAATATCCAAATGTTCCTCGTCTTCTTACCTCTTAATGAAAAGTCTGTCCGTTTCGGTCACCTCTGTACCAACTCGTAATATAAGAAGAAAAACATGAAGGGAACAACAGTCATACATCCAACAAATGAGACTGTCAAGTGTCAATTTTAAATTTTATATCATTGTATTAGTGTGTTTTTATTGGTTTAAATGAATTAATATGATAAAATGGGCAGGTTGGCCCATGTTGAAAATAGACGGGTTAAACATGGATCAAGACTCATATTCAACTTGTTTTAAACAGATTAAAAATGAGCGGGTAAAAAATATACAGAGTCAACCCGCTTTGTACCGTAGACCCATTAAATTTTATTTATTTATTTATTTATTTATTTGTTTTCAAAAAATATTTTTTTAATTAATTCCATGAGGCATTCACAATAGGACCAAGCTTACAACAGATTTAGTGCCAAAAATATTACTCCAGTCAACAAATGCCACAGGATTAAGCAATTGACAAGGGCAAGGGCAAGGGCAGTAGCAGTACTTTATCTTAGTCTTCATATTGGCTCAAATTAATGACAGATGAAACCAAAATTTTCACCTTAAAACAGGTACAGAAAATCCATAAAAAAGGGGGCAATCTCAACCTCATTGTTACAAGACAATATAAAATCACTGCACTGCCGTTATGTATATAATAGCATATAAAAAATTTCAAATAAAGGATTAACATTTCACGAATATGGCTGGAAATCCTAACTGGTTTTTGCAGGAACAAAACTTATAACAGAAAAATGGAGTACCGATAAAATTTACCACTAGTACACATGATCAACACTAGGCATCTGTTAGGATATGTGTGCCCTAGCATAGCAAATTCTAATTTTGGATTGTAAAAGTCATGGTTTCTTGTCTGGATATTATTATTAAAGCATTATACAATTGGTGAATGGAATGTATTATTTTTCGATTCTTTATGGAATTGATGGTGTCCGCTTAATTACAAAATATATTTATATATGTATGTAATGGCAATTAATACTATGATATAAATTAGTAATCATAAATGGTTTAAAGTCGGTAATTATTGATGGACATTTAATTAGTTAAGACTTAAACCGGGTCCACGATAGATTGAGATATATTGCGAGAGTTGTCGTATGCAATTGCTCTCTATCACAGTCATGGCTTTTGACTCTCAAGCATGAGAGAAGTATAGACTCTTTTATTAATTAATAATTACTTTGATTTGTTCGGCGGATACCTCGGGATCCTTAGATCGACACTTTGGGTAGTTATGTATGTTGGGAAACGTGCTAGTTTTAAAAACTTTTCGAGGGATTTAAATTCATAGATCTTGATTCATCACTTAGAGACAAGTTTTATGCAAAAATAAAACATGATGTATCATTCAATTAAAAGATTGAATACTTACATCAAGGTTTGAGTAAACCTTAGATCTCTCCTCTAAAGTGAATGTTCTCACTTATTGTAGATCCCTTTTGCTAGACACCTTTTCCATGGATCTCCATCTTCTTGGTAATTCTTTTGCCTTTAGGAATCACTCATATGCCTCCATGAATGACCTTGGAAAACTAGACTTGTGGGAGCCTCCATTAGATGAGAACATAAACCCTAATTTTCTAGAGAGAGAAAATTTATTCCTTTTTCCTTCTCATAAAAATCACCCCCAAAAAATATACATAGACCATGTATATTTATAGGCAACATAAAAATAAAGAAAAGGAAACAACAAATCCTTCTCCATCTCTAATTCATATGTCTCAAATCTAATATGATTCCAATATCAAGTTGGGCTATGAGTGAGAATCCATTGGGCCTATTATTTTATTGGCTACAATGAATTAATAATTGGCCCAGTCCATGGACCCAATTCAATTAATTCATAAATTAATTTCTACTCCACTAAAAGAAATTAATTGAACTCCAATTAAATAATAAATAACCTCTAAGTCAATATTGCACTTTGACCCCTCTATGCATAATTAGTTATCGGATAAATATAGCCATCAATCCGACTCTTTAATTAATATATTTATTTTGGTACCTTTGATTATTTCTGGCTCGATCACAATAAAACATTTGTTTGACAAAAATAATAATTTAAATAAATAAATATATAATAAATCATTTTGTCTAAAAACACACGAAGGCCTTCGAATTTACTTTGTGATCAACCATAATCAATACAAAATAAATACAAGTAGCAATGATGCAAATATTGAAAATATAACCCTCTAACTATTAATTACATAACTACCCAAAGTGTCGGTCTAAGGATCCCGAAGAATCCGCCGAACAAATCAAAGTAATTATTAATTAATAAAAGAGTCTATACTTTTCTCATGCTTAAGAGTCAAATGCCATGACGGTGATAGGGAGTAATTGCATACGACGGCTCTCGCAATATATCTCAACCTAACGCGGATCCAGTTCAAGTCTTAATTAATTATGAGTCCATCCATAATTACCGACTATGAACAATTTATAATTACTATTTATATATCATGCATTGATTGTCATCACATACATATATATAAATATTTCTTGTAATTAACTGGACACTATCAATTTCATAGTGAATTGAAACATAATACATTGAATTCACCAATTATATAAATCATAAATATTTCAGATATGTCAGGAACATATGTCAATACAATCCAGATAGGAATTCGCTATGCCAGGGCATATAAATCCCAACAGCTCCCACTTGCCCTCATAGCCAATTCAAATTGCACCTAACTCCAATGTTATCCAGATGATGATCAAAATTATTGATCAATCACACCTTTGATAATGGATCAACAAAGTTGTGTTCCAATGCAATGTTTTAACTACAAGTGCATTTTCTTGCCGGACAATATCATGTCGAACATGATACTTCCTCTCAGTGTATCTTGTTCCTCTATGGAACCTTGTGTCATTGGTTTGGACTACTTCTGCACTATTGTCACAATATAGCTCGATAGGCAGGCTAGTATGCTCCACAACCTCTAAATCAGTGAGATCAAACCAATAGGCTTATATTGCCACCTTTAAGGCTGCAATATGTTCCACCTGCAGGTTTGAGTCAACAGTTGAAATCTGTTTGACAATCTACCAACTGATTTCCCTTCCATTAAGTGAACATACACTAAGTCATGAATCTCATAGTATCTACTTCTGATTGAAAATCAGAACTAGCATACCTGACTAGGACCATATCATCACATCCATAAATGGGTATGATATCATTGATTCTCCTTAGGTACTTAATGATATTTTTCACAATAGACCAGTTGTCAAGTCCAGTATTGGACTGATCTCTACTGACTATCCCTACCATGTAGCGGATGTCCTGTTTGGTATAGACCATGGCATATATGAGACTCTCATATGCCGAAACATATTGTTCCAGTCTCATTTGCTCAATCTCCTCTGCTAGCCTTGAAAAACTACTTACTAGAGAGAGCGATCCATATCAATAAAGCAAGAACTCATTCTTTGAGTTATGCATACCAAACCTGGTCAAAACTTTATCAATGTAGGATTATTAAGATAAGCCTATTTTCCTTTTAACCTGATCTTGCAAAAGCTTGATCCTAGGAATATAGCTTACATCTTGAAAATTCTTCATTTAAAAGTAATTGAACAACTACCTTATAATTGATGACAAAACTTCCACGTCATTATAAATGAGTAGGATGTCATCAATATATAGAATTAAGAAAAATAATAACATTCCCTTGTATACTCATGATTTATTCACTAAGAAATCTTCTGGTATCTTTTTGTAGATTAACTTGCCTTCCATAGGAATCACCCTACTAGAAAGTTCTACAAGATCCCAGAATTTATTAGAATACATAGATTCCAACTCTGATTTCATAGTAACTCACCAAAACGATCTGTATCCACATCAGTTCACGCTTCCGTGTAGCTTACTGGGTCCAACTCATGTTTAACAGGGATGTCCATAATGGTCTCACCTAAAAACATGATTCTGTCGAATTGGATGATAATCCTCCCACTACATCAATGTACCGATGCAAGAATCTGTGTAGTAGATGATGCTAACGCATCAATAGGGAATTCATATATTATTCTCAATCTCTATAATAAGTGTGTTCACATGTGGTACACCTGGTACTCATACCAAATTCTCTAACATTATGCTACTAGGTATGTGATTCATAATATGATTCTCTTATAGATAAACAGTGAGTGAAAACAATCAACTTTTATCTTTGAGATCATAAAATAATCCATCCTAGTGACATTTAGAGTAGCTATCAAATCTAGCATGCCTATGATCTGCTTCCAACTTACTTGTCCATATCAAGCGCACATGTGCAAGACTACCCCATATGTGCATATGATTCAAACTAATATTTAGTCAAAAACACAGCTCAACGGTATCCTTGAGACAGACTAAGATGGAATGCAGTTCATAATGCGCATCGATGTCATTAACGCTAAACTCTTAAATGAAAGAGATAATGTGGCATTACTGATCATAGATCTAACCATGTTAAGTGGAATTCTGTTATTCCTATTTGACACCTAAATTAATTTAGCGTCAATTGCGGAAAACTGGTACACCACACCCTCATTGACCATATAGTCTTTGCACTATCCCAAGAAATACTCAAATACTCGATCAGATCGAAAGTGTCTTGATAAGTTTACCTAATCTGAGCTCCACATCAGTCTTGACCCTCTCAGAATATACCAAAAGTATAAGACTTGTGTCGCAACAGGTAAATTTATCCAAAACGTGAGTAATCTTGATTGGATGTTCATAAGACTACACGTGTACGTGTGTACCGACTCCAATTGTTCTTTATGTCTATTTCATTTGGCTGATTAAGCCCTTAGAGTTATCTATCCTTCAAAACAAGATTCACAAGTTTGGTTTAGGCTCCTTTGCCTCACTAGGTAATAAACCTTCTTTAACCAATCTTTAAATCTCATTTTGATTGATTACAACCCAAAAATAGACACCAAAAATACAATGAGTCAGGAATAACAAATTTTCTCTTAATATTCAATCTAGAAGATGCAACATTAGTTT